ACCATGTTGTTTTAGTTTCGAAGAATTTGCAAACATTCTAATTCCGAATATAATTGGGACAGACTTTTTCCACTTAGCCAAATTTTGTACTCGAAAAGGTAGTCTGATGTCTCTCAGGTGCTGCGCACGTTTTGTTTCGAAAAAGCTTTGTTTTTGCAAATACAGCTGCAAAAATTTGGACAATATTTTTCGTCCAGTTAGATCAGTCATAATTAGTATGAGGACGGTCTTATGAAGCACCCATTAGCCACCCCTTTCAACGCAAGGGTCTTCCAAACTCAAAGTTGCAATGTTGGATACATCCAAAAAATTATTCAAAATAGGCCATCAAGTTAGACTGATAAAATATCGAAAGAAATTTTCTTCAGAGGAGAGATTTGAGAAGACCATAAAGAGTTGTGTGGTACAGTAAAAACTATGTAATTGAGACTGGTATGGATGAACAGAACTGTTGTCACCCCTAAAAAATGAAATTCAGTTATTGGTTTATTCTTTCCTGTGCTATATGCGAGATAAGCATGTCATTAGTTGCCCCGCGCTTCGCCATATCTGTCTTACTTCATGATGCTATGTCAACTTCCGCATCTATTGATTCTCTAATGATACTACTTTATGATTTCTTCTGGTATGCCGAAGTTGTTCACTTCGCTTTGATGGCTTTCAATAGGTTAGTTGAGCAAAAAAGGGAAACCGTCTTTGAAATGGTTGTCTGGTGATTGCAGATTTGTCTGTATTGCATACCCTGCGCATTATTCAACACTATTCTCTAAGACATGTACTGCTTATATCATATGCTGTTGTTATCTATTGGGATTGGTAATTTCTCTGCCTGTGCTAATCCCATGTTGCTACATATTGTGGGATTCGTACGACTACATAACTTTTTACAGCGAACCGCATTCATGGTAGCTATTTCACATTCTGGAAAACACATTGAAATGCTAGCACATGTATTGTAACAAAAATTGAATTCTGTGTTCTCCTTTTGTAAATACAGAAAATCGTAGAATGGCAGTTTTTATTTTTCGAATAGTTTTCGTCTTCATTTTCCGTGAATGATTTAAAATTGGTCGAAAAAATTCCTTCATGAATCAAAAACAAATCTTTTGAAAACTTTAGCAATTGCAAGTACATACCTCAGTTGATGCACAAGACAACCCTTAGCTTTAGGCAACTGCGCGTGTCAAACTGGCATTAATTGTTAAACTGCATTACGCGTTTGTAACCGCGAGCTTTCCGCAACTCGGAAAAAAAGCGCAATTACATTGTTTAAAGTTTATTTACAACGAAACATACACTAATTACGATAAGCAAAACGAAATCATCCTACTAATAAAACGCGCGAAAACTATTGGAAGCGCGAAGTCATAGCGTTGCAAAAGCTTTCGCTTGGGTATTTAGGAAATCTCTCCACAAGGGGGGGGGA